TTGCATTAGAGCATACGGACACGAATAATAGCATCGAGGTTTCGAATAATAGCATAGAGGTTTTGCATAACAGCACACGGACACGAATAATAGCATCGAGGTTTCGAATAATAGCATAGAGGTTTTGCATAACAGCACACGGACACGAATAATAGCATCGAGGTTTCGAATAATAGCATAGAGGTTTTGCATAACAGCACACGGACACGAATAATAGCATCGAGGTTTCGAATAATAGCATAGAGGTTTTGCATAACAGCACACGGACACGAATAATAGCATCGAGGTTTTGACGAGCAGCATCGGAAAACAGCATAATAAAATTCCAAACTTAATTTTGGCGCTAATCACCTCTCATATGGACACGATTGTTCCACGTTATTTTCTTCTGACATTCGCAAGCGAAGAATGGCGAGCTTCTTATTGTTCTTTATTTCACGCGCTTTAGATGTACTCGTACTCCTTGTCTTTAACGTTTCTTATAGTATGGCAATCTGCCTACTGTGATATTTTAATCAGCTCTAAGGGGCATAACATTCTCCCAGCCAAGGTGTACGAAAATTCATCCCACAATCAATCCCCCTTGCCCACAAGAAAGAAGAATAGCAATGTTGACTTTGTGATAACAGTGCAGCAGCGAGATAAATTGTAAAACTGATAAATAGTAATAAATTATTACCACCTAACTGATCGGAATTGAAATGATACTTATTTCCTTCTTGAGTGCTAACTTGAAAAGATCCCCCCTACCAAATCATGCCACTACCCTAGCTAACCGATTACCTTAACACTAGCAGAATATTTTCGAAAATAATTCTGAATATTTCTTAAACAATTTCTAATATTTGATTGGGCTCAATTCCCTTCTTGATTGAATACCTTGCCTATTCGAAATAACTGAGTGAGGTCACAAAAATCTGAACTCTTTTCTTTGGTACATAATAATTTGGATATATCAACAAAGTTGAAATGGTAAATTTGCCACAGTAACGATTACAAAAGCTGACGTTTCGAGCGTTAAGGGCTTCGAAGGGCTAACGCTCGAAACGTCAGCTTTTCTAATCGTTAAGGTGGCCAATTTACCTTTTCAACTTTGTTGATATATCCAAATTATTTCGTTACTCACACCGACGCAGCCCCAAACAGTTTCTTTCGAAACTGTCAGCCTTTATTCTTTGGTTCATAGTTTAAGTTTGAACAGACCAGTCTTCCGGCCTTGCGCAGTTATTATCAGGCTTTGAACTCGAATAACAAGTAAAAGAAATCGAAGGAAGAACTGCAGATGGTAATATTTATGCGTTCCATGAGATCAGCTATCGGTTTAATCCTATCATAATGAAGTTTTATCATACAACTTTAGTTCTTTGGCTAGTTGCTATTTTACGTGGAGTTTCAGGAGAAGCAGGTAATCATTCCTCAGCATTTTAACGCCAAAATAAAACGACTAATAGGTTAAATGAGTTACATGTGGAGGAAATGAAAGGGCACAACATAGACGAATATTGTTTTGCACTTGCAGATTGGACTTGTGTCAAAATACACACAGAAAAAATTCTTAAGTCCATTTGAGCTGTCACTGATAATAAGAAATTAACCTATCGGGTAATTGATTGATTTACCAACATATATATACAAACGTACATGCATATGCAGTTAGTTATATAAGTTAGTTATATATTTATTCACTTTATGTATTATTGTATTTATCTATCTTTTTGTAACCATGCCTAGCTTTGCCAATCCCATTTGGTAATGTATCTAACAAAACTAACCATGCCTAAGGAGAGTTAAATTATTATTTATTAGCGATAAAAGTTTATCCAAGCAAATATAGGTAAAATACGCCGTATGGTAATGTATGTAGGGGACTGATGCAGTACCCCATCGCTGACCGCGGTGAAAATTCTTGAAGAAATCCTGTAGGATCACAATCGATCTTCATGAGAATCTTCAAGGATCCTTGTGATGACCTTGAGAAATATGTTTCAAAACTTTTCTATGGATCCTCAAAATTCTTGCTTAAATCTTCAAGGGTATTTCACTTTCTTGCCAAGACCCTTAAGGTTATTTCATTTTCTTGCCAATACCCACAAGGATCTTTAATTTTCTTGCCGAGTTGTTAAATAATCATTTCATTCCTTTGCCAAGTTCTTCGAGATCTTTCCCTTTCTTCCGAAGATCCTGAAAAATCCTTGCATGTAATTGAAAAGTAACCGAATACAATGACAGAACCACCGCTTGTTATGACAAAAGGGTCGTATGTAATTACGAGGGGACCGTAACTATAGCCACAAACACCACAAACAATTCTTTAACTGTTGCATGAAATATAAATTATATTCCAGTTAATGACAAAAACACCGCCTGTGGGTACACCTAAAAGAGTTGTAGAGAAAAGAAAAACCGGTGGTAAGATTGCGGAAAGGCGAGAGATTCGAAGGTTTACGCCCGATCAGATAGAGATCTTGGCGGTGTGCTATTTTATTTCATTTATGACGCGATGCTTTGGGAGTTAGAAATAGATCTTTCCAGTAAGATTTGTCGCGTTTCGTCGGGTAATTCTTTTGAAGTTTAGCTCAGTCCTAACCACATATAGTTCCTATCAAATACCTTCAGATCGGTAGAGCTAATATACTGAGAAATTTCAAACCAGGAAATACTGGCAAAACCGTCAGAACAACCCTGCGTTTTGACCATTTCAAAAGGTAAAGCAATATTTCCATAATGTGGCAAAGAGAGAAGACAGAAAGAAAGGGAAAAAAAGATATCAAGGTATCTAGGCAGAAGAATGGGAACTTATCTGCCTTTCATTATAGATGATGTTGTCATGATTACTTCATCAGTCTAAAAATTGGCATCCAAAACAGAAGCCTTATCACATCGTAGGCCGAACTGGTAAATCTCCTGGGGAAGATGTTACGATAAACTTACTAGGTATCCTTTCGTAACTCGTGCTCTTCAAGGACGAGACGCCATTGTGTAAGTGAGCGATTGTTTAAAACCAACTGGGACTGATTTGTCAATGATGAAGCATCGTTAATGATTAGGATGCAGTTCTGTTGGTTGAACTGATAATTGATACTCAAATGTATGTTTGCGTTCGATTTGCATAATTTCTTGGTAAACATGAACTCAGTACATATCAAGCAGATGACGGATTTAAAATTGAGTTTAATTACCAAGTAGTTTACCAAGCTATACTGGGATTTTCGCACTAGATGCTTTATTCTCACAGTGTTCCTCTCTGTTGAAGAATGTCAGATTACATTAGAATGGTTTCCTGGTGGCCCTGCCTAAGAATTACCTCATTAGAGTGGTGGTCAAACAAATCGTCGTATTCCCAATTGCAACTTGAACTCCACACCCTAGGATTTGGGAGCCACCAGCTTGTTTTTTGTTGTGACTTATTACAGCTGTTTATTATTTCTTTTATGATCTGAGTTAACGTTCTCTATAAGGCGATATAGAAATGCCACTGATAAAGAGGGAAACAATTCAAAAATCTCGGCTCTAAGCCGAATCCCACCCGTAAGAACGAAACATTATATCATTCTATGTGTCTCAACAAAGCTCAAACTTTACTATCTTTCTTAGTCTACTTACCTGATGAAATATTTGGAGGAAGAGGTGGAAGGGGAAGGAAGTGCAGGGAGGGAGAGGGGTGCTGACCCATAACAGACTAGTTTCCTTCCTGGAAGGAGTGCAAAGACTCATGATTGCTCTCTGAAAGTGAGGCATTCATAAACATTGTCCATAGGTAGACATTCTTTCAATAATTTATTTTGTAAGAGTTTCTTACATCTCTCTGCAGAAATCCTCGTTGAGGAACCTAGCTCACACTGGTACTGGACTACCTTTCAAGAAAGTAAAACGGGAGCAGGGGTGAGCATCGTGATTTTGATAGGCAATGTTGCAAAACCATGAGTGCGATGAAACATTAACTTTGTCAGTATTAGGTACATGTATACATGCTTCCCCACTTATCACAGAAATTAAGATTAAAGGGGGAATTTTGGGGAAATGATGCGGGATTTAAAGAAGGTCAGATTTACGGGGCTGGAGGGTCGGATATAGGGTTGTGAAACCCAAGTAAACGTGAAAGGAAGATCTTGTGGGTGGAAAACATGAGCCCAGAAAACCTATACAGTACGATTGATGAGCAGTAAGTCATCTGAAGCTATTGTTATTTGAAGTCTCTACTAGGCTCAAACCAAAGTTAGTTTCACATGCATCTGGTCCCTACATATGTTGCGTGTTTGCCTATAATAGCCTACATCTTATTGCCAAGAAATTGAGCTGAAGAGAAAAATGTAACCTTGAATTATGAACATTTCATTCATCTTTAGGCCTTTAACCATATGCTGCACAATTTCCTTTTCAGATCTATAAAGCCAATTTTTAGATTACAAAATAACTTGGACTGTTTTAACCGTTTCCTCATAATGTGCATGAATAAACATTTTTAAACAGTAGTGAAATATTATAAATAACTGTTTTTCCTTCTTAATCTTTGATAATCTCAATATTCTTCATTTCATTCTCCAATCAATTGCACATCCAAAACTAGATCTTCCTATGATTTTACTTGGCATTTTTATTGGGATTTGATTTACGTAGGTGACAAACAAAGGAATTCACTAATCCAAAGCAATCAAAGCTTACATTTAATTATGAAATACTCATGTTTTGGTACATTTTGCATCAACAAGCACATGCATTGTAAAATGTCATTTGGACTTTCAGTAATGCAATAGCCAGATTTGGTTATTTCAGAATTTATGATTCATTTTGAACATAAAGTGAAAAGTTTAGCCCGTCGGATGATGATTCATACTTGTCTGCATGCAGAGGAGAAACTTTTAGCACCGTGTACCTACAATATTTGTATGTTGCGAAATTTTACCATTACAATAATAGGAATTTTTCTTTTCTTGCAGTGGAATCGTCCTTCGACTCGATCACCAGTTTACACAGTCTGTGATTTTTCCAACAAAAATGAGGAACCAAAGAACTGGTTAAGATCAGATTATATTAACATCAAGGATGCTACACGAATCGATCTTGAGGTGGCCTATACCTTACGTAACTACCCTTCGGCAAACGCCTGTCCATTCTACAGAACAAACTTCTCCATTCATTCTTATCATTCTAGTTACAAATTAGATCCTAATCCAGACCCAACAAAAGTAAAGTTCCAAAAAGAGACTGTTATAACTCCAAAAACCCTTCCTGCATCCAATGAACTTACAACAGACACATTTTATGGGTCAATAGTAAGAAAAGCAAAAGGAATCTATTTGGCAATCTTAGATCAAGGAGCCTGCTTGACGATAAGAAAGTTTGTTGTAAGATATCGTTTCTGCTCTGAAACGTTTGCTTCGTTGGTTAAATTTCCAAGAACTGTTGCTCCAGTAAATGATTTAAACTCAACCAAACAAGAAGGAGAATGTGCAGATCCTAACTCCCATCAGAGAAACAACAGAAGGTCATTTGGCGTATGCCTTAGTAATGGGGAATGGAATATTACAGATAACTCATCCTGCCTTTGCAATTATGGCTATGAACTCACCAGTGAATTTTCGGACTCTTTGGCGTGTAAAGGTTTGTGCTGCATTTAAAACTGGGGTTTACCTCTGTAGTGTTGGGTCCATACTAAATGAAATATTCTAAAAGGGAATATGCTGTTAAACATATACCCACCATCCCTTTTGTTCATCGTTTCGCCGAAAGCTTATTAAAAGGTTCCATTCAAAAGGTTCCATGCATAACTGACATCAATGCTGACTGTTTAGAATTTTAGAACTTTAGTATATATTCTATCGGTGGGCGTAAATGAATGACCTTTGATTTATGGCCCAAAAAAACCAAGACCTTAAAACGTAGCACAACAACGAAGAGCCAAGAACGAAAACCCTTCTTTTCGCAAAGTACCATTTTACAAAGTTCCGTTTCGTTTCACTTCGTCTTTCGTCTTTGGTAGAAAATATTAAGCCGCATGCTTTGGATGCAACCAACTATTAGCCCCATGAGACTTAAAAAAATCCCTGGTCACAAATCACCACCATATGGAATTATTTTTGGGAGAGGTGTGACTGTGCAAGGTAGGAGATGAGTTGAATGTCGACACCGTTTACGAGATTGCTTTGGAAAATACAAATCTTAGATCTCAGGAGACCTGTCCTTCCGATTTTTAGTCGTGGGTACGCGAAGCGTACAACCGACTATTAGAATAGGGCAGAATATGCAAATGTGTCACTCACTCAGATACAATCAAATCGATATGTCTACGGCAGATCAATATTGATAGCGACCTTCCGAAATTATACGAAAAAGCCTCTATCACATTTCCAAAATAATGCTACGACGTTAGAATAAGTCGGCCTTTCTTCGAAGGAGTTTCGATTTTAATTAAAATTAAATACTCTTTGAAAGACTAAAAGTGTAACTATGAGTGAAAACGCTTAATACAATCGATTTTCCGAGATCATCTTTGATTTCGCTATCGTTGTTGAATATTCCTCGCCGTTCCCGGGTATGTTTTATTTTTAACAAAGTGTCCAGGTCACAATCGTTCTTAAATACAATTTCAAGCCTTCATGCTTCTCACTGCGAGCCGTCAGTATTTATATCATTATATATTGCTAAAATGAGTAACCGGCAAATTTATATAGAGGAGAGCGATGCGTTGTTTTAGTGACTGGTCAATTGTTTACTTTTGATGGTTTCACCTCTCATCTGTTTGGTGACTACGCAGACATTAATTTGTGAAAATCATTGTGTGTACACCCCTGAACGTTAAAAATATATTAATTCGAAAGAACAGTTTTGGTCTAAGTCCACATTTTTGTCAAAAAATTGATAATATACTCATATCGGTTTAAAGGGTGAAGACTTCGTCACACATACAAAAGCTGTCTTTTTTAATAGACGATGGCTTGAAATTCTATTTGAGAGCGATTGTGGCCGCTTTTTTAAAAACAGACTTCAGTGGCCACTTTGTTGAACACGAAATATGCGAAGAAATGGGCAAGGAGTATTCCGAAATAGTGCAAATGATCATCAAAGTGATTGCTAAAAGGCGATTGCGTGACACTCGGTAGGTTGTAATATGACATGTGTTATCATGCATCAGACGAAATAACAGTTTTCAAAGTTTCCAGTCTGCATTCTGTACCCAATCTGCAGTCTACAGTTTGCATTTTGTACCTTGTCTGCATTTTGTACCTAGTCTGCATTTCGTACCCGGTTTGCAGTCTGTATTTTGCTAAGTAGTTTCAACTGTATCCAGAAGTCACCCATTGGATTTTAATAATCTTCAAAACTCATTTAAACGCAATATACTCACGACTGATTCACAGTTCCCTTTGATTTCATTGTTATTCGTTTATTCTTCACTTCTTTTTTGGATTTTTCAAAAGCAAGAGGTATTTATCTTAGGGTCTTCGTTTTCGGTTCTTCGTCTCCGAGTTATTCGTTATTGGCGACAACCTTTCTAATTGCCAGAAGAAAGTAAACACACAGAAAAAGGAAAAAAAAAAAAATTATGAACAAGTAAAATAAAATGTGAAAATTTTAATATTTCAGGCAAACATGCGTTTTTGAAAAATCTAGTTTCGAGATAACTTTGAATTTGTCAACGCGTCATGTTTATACACCTGAGTGAAAGTCATTATAAGAGTCATTAGGTGACATCGAGATTTGCCTTTGTGTATGGTATCAAAATATGTCTCAGTTTCTGTCACAGAAAATAGTCATTTGCATGACAGGAATATTTCTGTATGGAAAAGCACGCTACAGGGTCATTTTATTGATATGTATTGAAAAAAAAAAAGCATTTTATTAAGGTTGCACGTTGTTTCATTCTAGAGTGTCAGAGAGGCTTCTACAAGGATTCTGTAGGTAATACAAAATGCCTACCTTGTCCTGTAAACTCGGCATCTAATTCTGACAGAACTGGTTGCAAGTGTAAAGAAGGTTACTACAGATCATCTAATGTGGCAGATTGTGAAGGTATATTTAACAATTATTCCACGAGCGCGTGTTGGATATGAGATGATAGATAGCCAACGGGGCGCATAGCACCGAGTTGGCTATAATCACCTCATATCCAACAAGCGCAAGTGGAATAATTGTTTTATTAAAAAAAACGCCCCCAAGATATTAGACAAATCTTCTCGACTTTGTTTTGTAAGAAGAAACTGGATGTTACAATATACAGATATTAGATTTGGTATATTGGCTCATATACCATAATGGCTGAGCCAATAAAAAGTTTTGACTTGCATTATTCAATGATCCAGTTTTTAATAATACGTGCTAACATGATCACTGTCCTAATCTTTACAAATTTATGAAAGTTTAAATGGCTACAGAGGATCATTTCTAGGTTTTCCAATTAAATTTTATACTGCTCAAAGGATCTAAAGGCTCTCTTGTATCAAGTTCTACTTTCTGCTACTTGATGGTGGTAGAGGAGGGGGTGAAGTAAGTCGCATTACGCTTGTGAACATGTGGTTTTCTCGAACCTCATGATTTATAATTATTATAAGATAACCTAAATATAACGTGTGGAAACTAAACTCGTGTTAAAAACAGACCGCTCTTGTGAGAATAAGTTGTGCTGGGACATACACCCCACCCCTTAAAATACTTAGGAATACAGGCCTTTGAGGTGCCACTTCCATTATATTGATATTTTCAATTACAGGTCCTCATAGATAATTTGTTAAAATGTTTAAATTCATCGTGAAACCGGTGGCCGTTCGTTCGAATTTCCTTTTTTTGGTAATGATAATTTCCTTCACGTAGGAAGAGGAATGCAATACGCTTAGAAGTCATCAAAATATCAACATCTACCTGCATTTATATCTAATGTGACGTCGTTTACTTTACCTGCAGTCATTCGAATCAATGTAATCAACATAACCATGGTCATCATCAGTGAAAGTTGTATTGATGGAGAGTTCGACCAATCTTCATTACTGACGAAACTCGAAGAAGCGGTAACCATTTTGAGTACTGAGTAAATCATTGTTAAAAATTGATTTATTTATGTAATAATAGTTTTTCGGGTATATTACATGCAAATCTTGCAATTACAGAATGTGTTATAGTATTGGTTGTTTTTCAATGATAGCGTTGGTTACCAAAGGAAATAGAAGTTTGTTTCACCGTCAGTGAGCCATGGTATTCATGTATATAATAGGTTTACATACTTGACTTTACAAAGTTTGAACTCAAAATTTAAGTGAGCCTGTGCAGCGCTTGATATATAGAGAAAGTAGTTTCCTGAAAAAAAGTTATAAAATGAAAATTGACCATAATTATGGTATCATTTTCCTCACTGAATATTGACATGCTTATCTGTATGCATGGTGGTCGTTAATGGCGCATGACGAGTTTCACTAATGCATGTTTATTATTACTGTCCTATTGGTTCTGCAGGTGAAAGAGGGTTTTTTGGGTAGATTCGCAGGCTTCAAAAGTGTTCTGTTGAAAAGTGGCATCGGGTTTGTAAACTGCTTGGATCAAGTGACAAATTATAATTTTCAGTGCCTCTTATGCTCTCCAATTTATTCTGACTCATATCTCTTGTCTTTATCAAGGTGTGGCAGTATAAATGTTGACCTAACACTTATATTCAATTCTAAAATAAAAGAGCATGATGTCATAACTGTACTTCTTAACGCTTCCGAAGATGGGAGGCTTGGATACTTTAGTCTTAGCGCCATCAACGGGGAAAGATCTCACGTTGATTTGGAAATTGGAAAAACTAAAGGAGGCACAACGCCACCTGGAGGTAAGCTATCTGATTTTTCTCTGTCAATAAAATGTACCGCTTTAAAAAATAAGTTTCTAAAAAGTATTTTGATCCTTACACTCTAACTGATTGGTAGTGATATTTCACAGAAATCTAAGTCTATGATATTCTCTAGCCAATGGAGAGTTGATTGGTTTATGATATAATCATATTGAGGGGAAACAGAAACACGTACGTTCCCAGGCGCATAGCGTCCTATACGCATATACGCACGTGCGTACTTGAAGTGACCAGAAAATTTTGAAAACAATGTCGTGCTTGCGCCAAGTTTGCTCACAATAAGGGCAAGACGCTTTGTTCTTTGCTTGTATTCACGCAACTATTTCGAACACGAAATAAAGAACGCAGTATTTTTCGCTCAGTTTACTTAGGTTTCTAGAGCATATGTAATTGTGCGTACTTGAAAAAACTATCACGCTACGCGCCTGGTTCCCTATGCCTAGAATCTGTGTGGAACATCCTTCTTGTCTATGATTTATTTATTTAATTTTTTTTAATCTTTTACGGCGTCATGCATTTAAGCAATAAAACACACTTTTTTGAATTTTTTTTTTCATAAGTATCTGTCACGATCTGACCCCTGTCAATAGGAAAGCGAGTAAAAAAAAAAAAAAAAAAACCGAACAGGCGTACGCTTTCTGACATCAACACACCAGTACTTGTTTGGCCAACAAAATCGAGTTAAATGACTATAACGACCACTTTTTCTTCTTCACTGATCCTACGAAAAGTATCACTCTTCCAACAACAAATTTACTTGTTCTTTTGCAATTGCTGCATTGGCATGTGTAAGTCCTGCTTTTCTTCCACCCGAAAAAAACGGGAGTCAAATCAGACGCTTTTTCTAGCTTTCGTTTCTGTTGCTGCTTGAAACATATAATTATAACCTCGACAAGTTAAAAGGTTAACAACTAGTTAAATACTACATACCTATCATCAACTTCTCCTGTGGGTTCCAAAATCATATTTTATAATACGTATGCGTAGATAGAGAGCTTAAGTGGACGATTGCCAACAGTGAGTTATTGGAGAGATACTTCGTATGTTGTTCTTTTCATGTTTTCAAGGTGCCACAGGGATTATTGATAGTCCAGTGGTTGGATTAATTGCCGCTCTGGCTGTTGCTGCTGGATTAGTTGTATTTTTCGTATGGAAGTCAAGAAAGCGTAACAGCAGGAACTCAAATGGTAACAGTAGTATTATTGAAATTCAAACATGATCTCTGGCAAAAATGTTTAAGAACTAGAAGCTTTCGACTGCCCGAACTGCAATCTTTGATGGGTAAAATGGATGACAAGCCAGCGATGAGGGAATTGAAATAAAGACGTGAACTGCGTGTTGTTATATTGGGGAAACCAGTAGAGCTTTTAATACCCGAAAAAAAAGAACATTTGAGAAATATGAAAACTGCGGCCAAAGGTTCTAGAATTGCTAATCACGCCTGCTCTAACAACCACGCCATTGATTTTGAAAACGCGTCAATTATTGACAAAGGCACTCTTAGAACCAGAAAAACATTAGAAGCGTGGCATACCAGAGTGACACCTAACGCAGATAACAATTCTTACCGTTACCTGGACAATGCAATATTCTTTTTAACAAATATCCATAATCATTTACATTCTCATTATTTCGCAGTTCACGTCTTTATGTCTTTATTTAAATTCCCTCATCGCTGGCATATCATTCATTTCACCCGTCGAAGACTGCAGTTCGGGCAGTCGAAAGCTTGTAGTTCTTAATCATTCTCGCCAGAGATGGTTTTTAAATTTCAACTATGTTTCATCCTGGCTGCGGCTCCTCAATATTTTCAAGTAGTATTATTGTCAACTTTGGCCCATGATAAATTTTTTGTATGTCTAAGCAAATTAAGAGTATCCTTACTTTATCATAAGCTCTTCTAAACACAATGTGGGTTTGAGGATTTCGAGATAGTTGGAATAGATCCCTTTCTTTAATAAAAGGTAGCTAGAGTCCAACTCATAATAAATGAAATTGCTAAATCGATGCAAACTTAGCTGCAAATAAGGACTTCAAAGATTTCTTGAATTTCAGGAACCAAAGATCATTAGTTTGTACTGGAGATCTGTGACATGTTGCTCTTCTGAAAATGCAAAAAATTTCCAAAATTCATAATCGTTACTTTATAATTTTGATATCGCACTAGACTTGTTACACACTGCTTTCTACTTAAATTGACTTGTCCATGTATAAAATGAAAGAAACGTCACAAAATATCAAATATTTTGCATTACATTTTACAATTTTTCTTTCCTTCTCTAGCATTACATGTTTTTCTTATTTTTTTTTTGTCTTTCTTATCATTTCGGGAACAGGGAAAAGAGAAAGGTGAGATTTCTGGATCAATAAATCATAGTTGATCTCCATTTCTTGTTTGTGTAAGCAGTTGCAAACTGTATAAGATTTTATATTTGTCTAACAAGACAACTTGGTCTCATCAACTGATGTAATGTTAATGATAATATAGATTGGCCACCGTAGGGAATTCCCAAATTGACGCTTTAATTATAAGTGCTAGCCCTTTTTCAGAAAACAGAACCACCCTATTGGTGGGAACATAGTGACGAGAAAAACAAGAATGAATTATGAGTTCAATGAAAAGTGTCTGTTGATACCATACTTTTCCACTGAACAAATCGTTTATATGTTTCATCCAATTGATTTCGGATTTTGCAGAAAAAATGATATTTTTTACCTTTTAGGACTAATGGAAAAACAACTGAGGAAATAGAACTTGCTGATGTAAGTCGCTTGAAGAATCTCACACTTGACCGTATTGTGGCACAATACATATATTTTATTACATAGTTTAATATAATACGCACGGATATTTTTAGTTGCGACTTATTTTTTTCGAGTCCCGATCGGGCGAGGAAAATTGCGCAAAAACTGTGTCCTTGTGTTGTATGTTAATCCATGGAAAAAGAGATGTACTTTTCTCCTCAAAAAATTTTGCTTTTAAGCTTATTTTTCCCCGGTAAGAAAACTGACCCTGAGTTCTCTGCCATCAATAAATAGCGCGTTTGAATTACGTAACTAAATAGGACAGAAAGCCGGTGATGTTTCTTTAATTTGACTAGATGATACAGTAAGGTGGATGAAAAATCAGGTTGTAGGTTGTCAGAAGATCGGACAACAGAAACCGAAGAAATTCAATGAGTAAACAGCGCGTTAAATCTCCCCGTGTTTTTCCTATGCCCGCTGTAATTGACAGGTGTCAGATCTTAACACTGACATACATATTAAAAAAAACTTTCAAAGCTTAATCGGGAGCCTTTTATCCTTACGTAAATAAAAGAGTTTCAGCTGAGCCTCTCTCCGCGGCTTTCATTTGAGTTACCTCAGTCTTTTATCTCCACTATCTACTTGCTAAAAAATTGCTGAGTTTAAGTAATTACAGCCCTAAATCATTCAGTTTTTTTGCAAGCATTTCGTTCGGTTTAAAAAGAAACAAAATTGTATTCATTAGCCTTAGTCGGTACATATTGTGTACCGAGGACTGTACTCCATTATTCCCACAACAGACCAACCAAGGCTGTCAAATACCATATATATACTTTCATAGATAAATGTCAAATTATATTTAAAGACATTCGCTGTCTCAACTGCTCGATTACTATTACCAGCGACGGTTTGTTTTTCAATCTTCAGTTTTGCTTTGTTACATCTGTTCCACCCCTCGATCTTTACAGCCGTAATGTAATTAATATTCGTTTAAGACTTCTTAGGTACATTATACAACTGATGGCGAAGACAAAGCTCACCGTAAAGTTTATTGGAACGATCATATGCGTGATCTGTAGCCATGATCGGAAATACTTAGATGATTATGAATTTTCGGGGAGATGATTTAATCGAAATTACATTGATAAATAGATTTGTTACATCCATTTCGAAATCCCTGGTGGTCCCTGTAATCTGATTGGCTCTAATTGGTGCGATTTATTCCCAAATCGCACCATTTTTTGCTCTAAATCTACAATCTCTAATATAGTTGACATCCGCTAAGTTGACTTCGGTCGTGTATCTTTAATAGATCCTTAGTTGGGTTTGACATGGGGTTGTAGGCTTCCCCTACCCTGTCACCCTGTTCTGCATCTGCAGAAACGAAAACGAATGCCCTTTAGGAGGGGAATGTTTGCAAAGCGAGGTTGTCTACCAAGCCACAGTCGCTACCAGGGGAGAAACTGAAACATACGTTGGCCTCACAGCGACAGATTTTAAGACTAGATGGCGCAACCACCGAATGTCGTTCAACCACGAGAGACGGCGAAATGACACAGAGCTGAGCAAGTACCTGTGGAAACTCAAGGAGAAGAGGGAAGACTATTCGATTTCATGGAAAATTATTGCTAGGGC